ACGCCAGTAGGCAGGCCAACGAGCAGGCGTGCCGAACGTTGACTGGCAAAAAGCCTGCTTTCGCGTTGAATTGATGGGATAAATTGTGTGGTGCTCATTTTTCTCTTCTTCTTCTTCATCATCATCTTCTTCTTCCGCAAGTCGATCTGACTTCGCCGCCCAACTTTTCGGTGGACAAGTGACATCAGCCCGGAGGACATTTCCCGACTGTTCGCAACTTTGTCGATGGTTGTCCGGTTGGCAACTCAGCCTCCGAGACGTCGGTGAGGATTAGATTTGTCATGCTGCCTTTTCCACTTCGCCTCTGTCATGCATTCAGCCTGCACTCCCCTCTCGAGCCGAAGCGCCCGGCCGATTCGTGCCGAATTCCCCACGAAAATGTGAACAACCTCCGCCAAAATGGCATCTACACGCCTTCACCTTGAACCCAGTCGAATAGGTCGCAGAAGCACCGCGACAGTCGGACCTTCCAAAGCTGTACCGGTTCCGTCGACGACACACAGTTTGAGCTCGTCTAGAACGTGCACGGGCCATTTCGAGACCAGAGTTAGCCAGTTTCAAAACGGTCTCAACAACGGCAAGTAGAAGCTCCTTCAAACAGAAGTGGTCAAGGCATCCTGGTCCGACAACATGAGTCCGATATATTCTGGTCCGTCTGGAAAGGAAAATTTGGATACTCATCCGAGACCATATCAGCCCCTCCTGACGCCCGGCTCTGGGGCTGCAGCATATGATGAATTATTTGTCTCGATGGGAGGATGTGTAGCCATGGCAAGGAGGGGTAATCAGACAAAAAGGCGTCACCTGAGCTAAAATGCAGATATATGTATATATATTTATATATTTATATGAAGTGTATTCAGATAAGAAGGTTAACTGGGTTTTGATGAATTTTCCGAGATAGCATTACTGGAAAGATTTTGATGTGGTGTGAAAGTGTATGTAGAAGAGATGCTCAAAGGTCGATTTCACCTGAGGACAACATCTAATGCCTGTTGTATGACATATATTTGGGTGTTGACATGACGTTCAGGTTGACAAAATCCACAAATCATCCTCTCTCGTTTCGGGTGAAACGGGCTGGTACATCACACGACCGACAGCATCAGAGCTGTCGAAAGCGAGTGAGCAGAGAAATGGCAAGATGAATAGATTATAGGATATAGTGAAGGCAATTAATGATGCATTAACCGACTAAAGGTCAAATTACTGACGCTTCTCACCACATCCGCATGGTTTTGAGGGAAACTTTTCTGTTTCTGATGCTCACTCTCCAACTGCTACCTTCTTCTGCTCCCAGCTGTCTTCGAAGATGGTTCATGATGGGCAGGACTTTGGGGCTGGCCAGCTTCAAAGCTGAAGATGCGATTGGTTCGATCAGATGTCATTTGCAAGCGCCTGTAGACATGGAAATGCAAAAATCCTGAAATTATGCATTCGAAGAACCCTTGGTTAGAGTTCAGCGGAAGACGTTCGCAACATCTATCATTTAGTTTTTCGTTTAAAAGTGGCTTTCCGCGACCTCCGGTAGAACATTTGTATATGAAGTCTATTCAACATAAATCATTTGAGATGACAAGGTGACTGGAACTTGAAGTGTCCCACAACGAAATGAGTAGAGCCTACGGTTCCGTTGGATTTCACATTTCAACTACCAGTTGAAATGTGAGTACACTTCATGCACAACTGCTCTACTCGAAGTCACAGAATGCCACTTTTAAGCGAT